TCTATCATCTATCTATCATCTATCTATCTATCATCTATCTATATCTACCTACATACCTACCTACCATCAATCATCAATCATCAGTTTTTAAGGCCTATTGAGTCAAATTTGTGTTCCTGGGCCCTGGTTAACCTACCAAGTTACTCATATGAACTCACAGCAGTAGTGACTATGTGCACAGGTCCCAGGTAAACTCACAACAGACACAATCCCAACATAGAAGTGGGAAGTGGGTAAGAAACCGCCCCCCAACTCTAGGTGAGCAACTAGTGGCTACTGATAGCCTCAGGGAGGGGGCAGAGTTGGTCTTCTTTAAGGGTGTGACTCTTTACTTTTGAAGTGAGGTCTCAGGTAGCCCAGGCTTGCCTCAAACTTGGTGTGTAGCAAAGAATGACCTTGAACTCCTGATCATCCTGCCCCAGCCTTCCAAGTACTGGGATTGTAGGCAGGAGACACCTGCTCAGCTATTTTGGTTTTGTTTTTCTTTTTAAACTTCTAAAAAAATTTATTCATTATTTTTATTTTGTGTGTATGAGTGTTATGCCTGCATGTAGGTGAGTGCACCCGTGTCGTGCAATGCCTGCGGAGGTCAGAAGAGGCTGTCAGATCCTCTGGGACTGGAGTTATGGACAGTTGTTAGCTGCCATGTGGGTGCTGGGATTTGAACCTGGGTCTTCTGCAAGAGCAACCAGCATTCTTAACTGCTGAGCCATCTCTGCAGCCCGTTTGTTTTTTGAAGCAGTATTTCTTGATTATTCTCTTAGCGCCCCCCCCCCACTCTTCAAGGTCAGTTAGCTGTACCTTTAATTTTACATTATAAAGGTTGTTAATATTTATAGTTTCTTCCTTTACTATATATATATATATATATTTTTCTTCACTATATTTAAGTCTTGTGACTTCATTCCAGATTGGGTCTAAAAATTGAAACAAAAAAATACCATTTACATGACAATGACTTGAGTCTGTCTCCCTTCCCTTTTGTTGGATGTCTAAATCTGGAGCATGACTCCCAGAGTGGATGAGTAAGCCAGCAGGTGCCAAAGGCACAGAGTCGATGAGGTCCCCTGCAAAGGCAGAGCCCTCCCACGGGAGTCTGTGCCATAGGAAGCCCCTTCTCGGTGGGTGGTGCTGTTTGAGCTGTTAGGTGGGATGGGGGAGTACAGGCTTATGGAAAGGCAAGTTTGGAAACATACAGGTGGGAAAACACAGGGCTCACTGAGGGTGCAGTAGCTCCCAAAGAAGCTCGGAAGCTGTTTGGGTCAGAATTGTGGAGAAAGATGGGGAAGGAGATGAGCTATTCATATGGATGATTCCACTTTTGACTTTATCGCCCCCCCCCCAAAGTGTTTACGAAGTGGTCCCTCGGAAGTGGAATGAGTCAGAGGATCTCTGGGAAAACACAACTAGAAAGAAGTGAGGAAATATAAAAATAGTGGAGCCAGGGCTTGGTGATCACTGTAGGGAAGAAGGCTGGAAGTCTAAGCTGGGCACTGTGGTATGCTCCTATCATCCCAGCTACCTGGAGAATGGAGGCAGGAGGGTTGCTTGAGTTCAGTTGAAATCAAGTCTGCAGGGGCTGGGAAGATGGCTCAGTGGATGGGAGTCTTGCTGCACAAGACTGACCTGAGTTCAATCCCCCAAACCCCTGGTGGAAGGAGAGAACTGGTTCCTGAAAGTTTTTCTCTGCTCTCCACACACACCATGACACGCACGTGTCCTCTCCCTCATACATGCACTCACACATTCATGATACACAATAATAATAAAACAGTGCACAACATACCAAGACCCTGTTTTAAACAAAGTAAAGAGATAAACAAAAAACTTCCAGAAATGAACAAAAGAAGAGGTCAAAGCTAAATTACATGCTGAAACAAGGAAGGATTCTTCCTAAGATGCCTTAGACTTATAGACGTCTTTGGACATTATGACACAGTTGTCATCTTCAAGGTACATGATGCTCAAAAACTACACCACTGAGTTATAAACAGAAATCTCATAACATCTTAGGTAAGTTTGTAATTTCTGTTGGGCTTCATATATAGCTGTCCTAGGTCACATGAGGCCACAGGTTGGACATGCTCTCCAGAGGGGAGCATAGCCTTGCTGATACTTTGATTTTAGATTTCTAGGCCCCAAACTGTGAGAGAATAAACTTTTGCTATTTTAAGCCCCCGAGTTTGTGGCTTTTTTTTTTTTATGATATACAGTTTCATTTAACCCAGCCTGCCCTTTAATTCAGCCGTGGGTGCAACTGTAATGTAGGGGAGGCAACAAGAACAATCTGGGTCTTCATAGCGTTCACCATTTGATCCTGGCTTTTCCCATTGAGGTAAACTAGAGCAAGGCTGGTCTGTCTTCCCAGGAGAGTTCATCACTTTTTAAAAAAAAATTATTATTATTTTTTAATGTGTATGTGTGTATTGTCTGCATGTAGGTAAGTACATCCGTGTCGTGCAGTGCCCATGGAGGTCAGAAGAGGCTGTCGGATCCCCTGGGACTGGAGTTACAGACAGTTGTTAGCTGCCATGTGGGTGCTGGGATTTGAACCCGGGTCTTCTGCAAGAACAACAGTGTTCTTAACCGCGGAGCCATCTCTCCAGCCTGAGAGTTCATCACTTATGTGAGAGCAATGTCCAGTGGTACTTATTTCAGTGGGATTGCCGTTTGTGGTAAGGAAGTCCTCTGTAATCTACAATAACATACAGCTAGTGTGTGTAAGGTTTGCTATGTATTGATGTTTGGTTTTGGTAGATATTAACTAATTTAATCTCCAGAATCATTCTTTGATACTCTATTAAGTTCCTTTCATAGGTGAGGAAACTGGTAAGTGTAGAGGGTAGATGTGCAGAGCTGAGCAGTTATGGAAGGGCTGAGATGAGGACTTTTATCAGATCACACCCTGTCTTTCGAGGTGTCACACTGTCACTCATTTTGCAAAACCCTGGGGTGGGGTATTTTAGGAAAATTTTACCTTCTCTGAGCCTCTTATTTCTCTGAATGCAGAAAGGACCATCAGAGCTCTCCTCCTGTGCAGTACAGAGCACTGCGGGCTTTGCTTGAAGCCATGCTGAGTCGCTGTATGGAGTTTGCCCAGATCCCAGTGAACAGGAGGTTCCTGGTCAGTAACCGCAGCTTCCTGCGGCCCCTGCTCTGCTGCGTTTTTATTTTATTCATCAGCTTTTCTCTCTATTTCTTTCCTTCCTTCTTTCTTGACCCTCCCTTCCCCCTCCCTCCTCCCTCCGTTTCTATCTCTGTCTCTCTGTCTCTCTGTCTCTGTCTCTCTGTCTCTGTCTCTCTGTCTCTCTCTCTCTCTCTCTCTCTCTCTCTCTCTCTCTCTCTCTCTCTCTCGCTCTCTCTCTCTCTCTCTCTCTCTCTCTCTCGCTCTCTCTCTCTCTCTCTCTCTCTCTCTCTCTCTCTCTCTCCCTCTCCTTGCTTTCCTGATGTTCCTACCACAGCTTCCCAAATTCTAGAACAACAGACACAAGGCACTCTGCTCTTATTTTGCGTTTTTTGAGGCAGGGTCTCACTCTGTAGCTCAGGCTTCCCTGGAACTGAACATATAGCTAAGAAAGAGCTTGATCTTCCTTCTACTCCCAGAATGCTGGGATCATAGCCACGCACCACCATTCCCATCTTAATGGTTTTTCTTGTATCTTGTGATACTGATGATTGAGCCTAGGACCTTGGATATGCTAGGCAGGCACTGAACTACCTCTCCTGTGCTCCAGTTTGTTTTAGAAAGGCAATCTGTGCATTGCCTTACCTCCTATGCCAACTTAAAATTTTTTCTTGGGCTAGAGAGATTGCTCAGCAGTTAAGAGCACTGGCTGCTCTTGCAGAGGACCTGGGTTTGATTCCCAGCATCTACATGGCTGCTAACAACCATCTGTAACTTTAGTTCCAGGGGATAAGATGCCCTCTTCTGACCTCCATGGGCATTGCATGACATGGGTGCACTTACATACATGCAGGAAATATACTCATATAAAATAAAAATAATAAATAAAAATTTTTTAAAGTTTTTTTTTCTCACGTGCATATGCCTATAGTGATATTTTTCTAAATATCACTTTAGGCTTAAAGGTAGCTATCTCCATTTTGATATATGAAGAAACTGAAGCCACAGGGGTTAAACATTTCTGTAAGGATTAAAATTCCACAGTTCTTAGCAAGCAGAGTTCATTTCCGCAATCCTTCCACTCAAGAGACTGAAGCAGGAGGATTGAGAGTTTGAAGTCAGCCTGAGCTAAGTAATGAGACCTGCCTCAAAACAGTTTGACTAGTACCTGAGCTTGGTTAGTTAATTACATTTTGTTTCCTTTCTGTTTTGTTTGTGTGCTGCTGAGAACCAAGCAGCATGCTAAACACACGCACATTACTTAAGGGTGTATGCTTTGGGATCCTAAAATCTGACCAGTGTTCCTTGTGTTGTAATTATTGGTTCATTGGAACATAGACCCAATATGATTAGGAAAGATACTGTCAGTATGAGTGTTATGTTTTTCAGGATTGAATTCTTCAAACCTGGTGGGGTGAAGACTTTATATTATGGAGCAATAATATGGACATTATTGTCAATTATGCCATTGTCCACCAGCCTGTGACAGACAGCTTTCTGGACATGGGAGGTTAAAGTTTTTCCCCTACTGTTTTAATATTTTTATTTTATATATGAGTGTTTTGCCTGCTTGAATGTAAATATACACCATATTCATGCAGTGCTGTGGAGACCAGAAGAAGAGGGCACCAGATCCCCTGGAGCTGGATTTAATGGATGGCTGTTAACTACCACGTGGGGGCTGGGAACTGAACCCTGGGTCCTCTGCAGGAGCAGCAGATCCTCTTCACCACTAAGCCATCTCTCCAGCACTGCCCCCCTACACTATTTTAAAGGAGCTACTCTTTTAGGATTTTGAACCAAGATCCCTTGGAAAGTTAGGCATATGGAGAGCAGACTACATGTGAGTGGAGGTGGTCTGTCACTTCTATGCACCGATTGGGACATGAAGTGTTACTTGACTCAGAAGCTCCTCTCTCCTCACCCCAGGGCAATGCCTTCTGTAGAAATTCAGAGAAGGCAACTCTTCAAAAGGGAAAGTTCCTGCTGAGCACTCTAGAGGGATTTCGAAATGCCTGCAGGTAAGGGGCCCTCTGTAGTCTGAAGCCATAACGTGCAGGGTCCGGATGGGAAGAGTGCAGACAAAGGATGAGGCAACACTTGATTTCTGATGCTCTGTTGCATCGCGAAAGGACTTCAGCTGGTGATGGGGTATGTGGAGGAAGTTTGAGGACAGGTAGCTTGGGGATAGCACCAGTCTAGGGTCCCTCCTGGTGAAGCCTTTGCTTCTGTGTCGTGCACCTTTGTTCCTCCCGGCAGCTAGCCGACACCGGTGGTCTTCACTGCACACAGTTCACATTGGCAGATGTTTCCTGTATCTGCTGTGTGCCAGACATGGTGCGAGTCGGGGATAGAAAGATAAGTCAGAATGATTCCTGCCCACAGGGAGCTCGCAGTCCCTGAGGGAAGATACCATTTGAGTCTCTCTAAAAGTGTTAAATTATCAAGAATCCAGGGAAGGCATTCCAGGTAGGGAGCAGCTTTGGGAAAGGCAAAGAGACGGGACATGGCAGATCGCATAGGATGTTCAGGGAGGTACACGTGGGGTGTGGAAGAGTCATGGATAATAGGGAAGTAGAGACTTGGAGGGGTAACTAAGGGCCTAGTCCTCTCCTCAGTGAGGCCTCTTAGACCAGAGAGGGGCAGAGAGCGCAGGCTAAGAGGGGGCTTTGACTCTTACGTTGCATGGGTAAGAGTGGATATATATTGATTTCTCAGGTTGGCTGTGGAATTCCAGGGTGAACCTTCTGCCCAGGAGAATCCCTTCACAGCTCCCAGTGCCGAGAAGGAAGACACCTTGGAGGCCTTCTCAGAATTTCTTCTCAGTGCCTGTGACTCCCAGTGTATTCCCATGGTGATGGTGGGTTTTTCTCAGTCACCAGCAGCAGGAAGCGTGGGCTACTTAGTAGTGTTATTCTTGCAGCTACCTTTCCTTTGGTTTTGAAAATAAAGTGTAATGTTTCATTATACAACTAGTAAATGCCTCTGAAGAAAAAGTCGAAATCAGTGACAGCGAAATAACATATAAGTGATGTTTATGATGTGGTCCATGTCTTACATCGTATGGGTGCTAAGACTCTCCCCTAATACCACACCCTCATCCCAGGCCTTGCACAAGCTAGGCAAGTACTCTATCACTGAACCATAGTCCAAACCCCTTCCTTAATTTTTAAAAAAAGATTTACTTTTTTATTCCATGTATGTGGACATGTGAGTACAGGTGCCCAAGGGACCAAAAAGGTGTCAGATTCCCTGGAGCTGGAATTAAGTTATAAGCTGCCTGCATGGGTGCTGGGGCAAACTAGGGTCGTTTGTAAGAACAGTACAAGCTCTTAACCACTGAGCTGTCTCTCCAGCCCCTGCCCTTCCTTGGTTGATTAATTAATTAATTGGGGTTTTGAGACAGGGTTTCACTATTGTATAACTGGCTGGAACTTCTTGTATAGACCAGGCTGGTATATATTACTTTTATAATAGTATTTTTAAAAATTCAGTTTTAAAAACTAAAGGACTGATATGTCTCCAAGGTTCTAGCTGTTTACACATAGAGAATAAGACCCAGAGAGGAGAGGTGGTGATTGTCTAAGGGCATGCAGAGATGGCCTTATATGGAGCTTGAACTAGGCGGAACCCAAACATCTTTCATCTTAACCCAGAAATACCCATGTCAGTCTTCCTATGACTGTCCAAGGATTACGTGAGTGAAAAGATGAAGGCAGTTGATTCTGTACTGCTAGTATTGCAGGGACAGAAACACAAGTTCCAGTCTATATCATGGTTCAGAAAGCATCTTCTGGACATTGGCGCTCATTTGAACAGGAGGTAGGCATTGCTGTTATTTTGTGGAGGGGATAACACAGAAGCCCATGGGTAAAGTATGTGGTACAGTCTGTTACATTGACAGATTCAATCCTTAAGTGTGGATTTGCGAGTTCAGATTCCCCCACTTCTCCTGTGTCCTTCAAGTGGTTAATCGGAAATCGCTAGGCTTGATGCCAGGCTCTGCAGAGGCCTTTTCTTCTTCAGAGACTCAGTCCTACTGTGTTTTGTTCTCTCCTCTGGTGCTTTCAGAGACACATGGAGCAGGCCACTCATCCTAGCTTGATGGAACTTTTCTTCTCAATCCTGCACAGCCTCTTTGTCATCGTTCCCCACATGAAGGTGAAGTTCTCCAAGAAGCTCGGTAGGTGGCAGGCCAGTGTGGAAGTTGGGAGGGAGGTGAGCACAGTAGGCTGCTGTTCACAGTGCTCAAAGAAAGCGTTGGCTAGAGGATGTATGTTTGCATATCGGTCAGGTGTTAAGAAAGAGAGATCTCTTGAGAGGAGGTGGAGGAGGAAGAGGAAGAGAAAGCTGCAGACATGGGCCAAAGAAGAGGGGTGGGGGGGCAGGGGAAGCAGGGAGACAAGATGGGAGGCTCAGCCTCCTCCATTAACTGAGATTGGTAAGTGTTGAGGGAATGCCTCAGGTGTTGGGTATATAGGATCCTTTCAGGTAATGCCTTAACTCCTGCCTGTCATCCAGGTGGACAGTACTATTTTTGTTGAGAGGAGGCTGACTAGAGGGAGATCTGACCTAGAGAGGCAGTAGAGTGTGATCAGTTGCATCAGGGTCAGTGTGAGATGCCGGTGAGATGTTCCAGTAGGGGTGTCAGGTGTGTCAAAGGCAAGGGGAAGATCTGGTCTATTTTATTTTATTTCTATTTTACTATTTAGTGACAGGGTGTCTCTATGACGCAAGCCCAGGCTGGCCTCAAATTCACAGTCTTCCTGCCTCAGCCTCCCAAGTGCTGGGATTACCACCACACACCACCCAGATCTGGTCTTTAGCTCTTGATATAGATGCCTTCAACATCTAGCCTTCTAGTCATTCAGCAGATATCTAGTGTGTGACTGCTACATGTAAAACACTGTCCTGAGGCTGAGGACGTAGTGAACAAGACAGCTCTGTCCTTTATGGGGCTGATCCTTCTGTAAGGAGCGACCAAGGATTCCTGAGTGGGGCTGGGGCAGTGAGATGACTAATGCTGTCAAGACAGCTCGAAAACAGCACGTGCTGGGCGTGGTGGCGCACGCCTTTGATCCTAGCACTTGGGAGGCAGAGGCAGGCGGATCTCTGTGAGTTCAAGGCCAGCCTGGTCTACTTAGTGAGTTCCAGGACAGCTGGGGCTACAGGGAGACCTTGTCTCAAAAAGACCAAAAAAAAAAGCAACATATAATGGTCAGGAAGAGGGAGAGATTCTGGAAGACACTGGGAAGGCGCTTTGGGAGGTAGGAAGGAAGCCAGGTACAACTTGTGGATTAGGGAATAGTTAGGGTGTCAAATGCATCCCAGAGGTAAAGTAAGATGAACTTTGAAAAATGTTCAATGTCCATGGGATTTGGCATCATACATGTTGGAACAGTTTTCTGTGGAGTGATTGGGTGGAAGCTACACTAAAGGTGGTTGGAGAACGAGTGCCCGGTAAGGTGGCAGAGGTTGAGACGTCACATGAGGCCCGGTAAGGTGGCAGAGGTTGAGACGTCACATGAGGCCCGGTAAGGTGGCAGAGGTTGAGACGTCACATGAGGCCCGGTAAGGTGGCAGAGGTTGAGACGTCACATGAGGCCCGGTAAGGTGGCAGAGGTTGAGACGTTACATGAGGCCCGGTAAGGTGGCAGAGGTTGAGACGTCACATGAGGAAAGCACATATTTATGTTAGGAACCACCACCCCCTTCTGTGAGGATGTATTTGAGTATGTGTCCACAGGGCCTCACATAGCCAGGCTAGCCTCAAATTAAGTGTTTACTCAAGAAGGACCTTAATATAATTACTTTTACCTCTTGAGTGCTGGGATTACACCATACAGAGTTTATGCAGAGCAGGGAATCATGCTTCATGCATGCTAGCAAGCACTCTATCCGAGCCCAGGGAGGATTTTTCTACTATTAAAATTGCAAACATTTACTGTGATTAGCTTCTGATAGGAAGGGCAGTAAAGAAATTATCCTTAGTCCATGTGAACATCCTGCCTCACCAGTTACTTGTCTATTGACACTGGGCAAGTTAATGTTCTTATCGCCAATACTTTGAGTTTGAATACAGTGATAAAGTTAAATGAGCTAGGTGTGGTGACTCAAACTTGAAGTCCCAGCCTTTGGAGGCTGAGGCAGGAGAATCACCTGGAGTTCAAGGCCAGTCTAGGCTACAGAATATCTAAAAAAAAAAAAAAGATTAAATATTTAAATGAGGGGCTAGAGAGCTGGCTTAGTGATTAAGAGCATTGACTGCTCTTGCAAAGGACCCAGGTTCAGTTCCTAGCACCCACATGGCAGCTAACAGTCATTTGTAATTCCAGTTGCAGGGCATCTAACGCCCTCTTCTGACCTCTGTGTGCATTGCATGACACGGGTGCACTTACACACATGCAGGCACTGCATTCATACACATAAATAAATAAATATATTTAAATATTTTATTCACTTATTTTATGTGTATGAGTGTTTTACCTGCATATAAGTGCACCATGTGCATGCAGTGCCCCACAGAGACCAGAAGAAGGCGTTAGATCCCCTGCAACTGGAGTTACAGTTGTTAGTTGGATGCTGGGAATCAAACCCAGGTCCTCTGGAACAGCAGCCTGTGTTCTTAACCATTGAGCCATCTCTCCAGCCCCATGAATAAATAAATGAGGCAATGTCCTGAATAGCTGAACAGCATTCTTGATGTCCACCATTTTCCCTTCTTTACAACATTCTTTCTCCTGTAAGACTTCAGGATACAAGAGGACCTACTATTGAGGTACTGGATGTGGTACAGAAATAGAGCTCTCTGGGGGCAGTGGTGGGAGGCAGGGTGTGTAGTGAAGGTTGTGGGAACTATAGAGAAGTCTGTGTAGCTGAAGCCACAGTAGAACGGGATCAGACACCCACCCTGTGAAGGGAAAGGGAGGCAGTAGGTACCCTCAGCCAAGGCAGAGATAGAGAGCTGGACTGGATTTGTGGAGTGGGAGCTCTGTCCCCCTGAGGGACTGGGCCAGGACCTGTTCCAGGCAATGATAGAGGTCCCTCTCACTGAGGGTGTTGTGGGTTAGCTTGTTGCTCTGAGAGTTTCTATGAACCTTGAGGGGTTCCATCAGAAGCTTTATCTTTTTATCAGAAAATGCAGATGAACCCAACCCTGGACTTGGTGAAATGGGGACTTCTGAGTCTTCCTGTCTAGGATTCTGCTTTTACAGGCCCCAGGGTGGACAGGATAGAGATCAGTATTTACAGACTTAGAGGGGAGACTGGAAAACCCAGGCAGTGGAGGGGCCTGGGCCAGGGTCAGTAGCTAAGGCAGAAATTGTTGTTAGAGCTCTGTTCTGAGAACTAGTCTCCTTCACGAAGACAATTTAGAGATAGGAATAAAGCCATGATGCTACTGTTCTTCCTGAATCTGAAACTAGATTATTTCCTAGAAAATGGGACAAAGGACAGAAGTGACAATGCCCTTCCTAGGTCCTATAATGTACCAGGTTTTGGTGGAAAGTAATTCAGAGGAAGGAGATAAACAGTTATGCAACGCTCACGTAAGCATTTGTTAGATGTACTTGTTTACAACTTTGAGGTACAGATAGCAGAACAGAAGTTCAGCTTGCACTACTAATAGATACTGGTGAAACTTTTTTTTCTTTATTTTATGTGTATGAATGTATTGCCTGCATGTATGTAAGTGCACCCATGTCATCCAGTATCTGTAGAGGCCAGAAGAGGGCATTGGATTCCCTGGAACTGGAGTTACAGATGGTTGTTAGCTGCCATTTGGGGCTGGGAATTGAACCTGGGTCCTCTGAAAGACTAGCCAGTGTTCTTAACCACTGAGCCATTTCTCCAGCTCCATGAAACATATTTTGAACCAGGGATGTCTGGCCACAGAACCAGTATTCTGTGACATACCGAGACTTGGGAATTCCTGTGGAAATCTGGTTTAAATCACTCTGCTTTTCTTTCCATTTCTTGTAAGCTGACTCGTCGTTCATACGACTGACCCTGGAGCTAAAGGCCAGGTTCTGCAGTGGCCCGAGGTATGTTCGGTCCCTGGCAGAATTGAATAGCAGTGGGCCAGCATCATTGTTTACTAGAGAGGTAGAAGTTTCAGATGGGTGTTTTAGTCATGGGACCCTGGTATGTTGGAAAGTGTCAGCATTGCCCAGGAACTGACATAGAAGCGGGAGGTGCTTCTCTCTGAGTTCAGTTTCATTTGCTGTGGAAAGGCTGCTGTCTTAGATTCATGAATGGGCACCTGTCACATCAAGACCGGAAGGGCTCTCAGAGATGGCTTCTATAACCTCTCCTAGATGGAGAAACCGAGGCCCTCAGAGGGGAAAGGATACAATAGTCATCGTTTGTTGCTGCCAGCCCGGCAGTTTCAGAGGATAAATTTTTGTTCGTGGTGGTCAGTGCTTCAGGGTCTGGTCTTCTTAGTTTTCTAGAGTACGCATCTGTTCCTTCCCGTTCATGATTTTTCTACTGTCTACCACTTACAAAGTGACTACAATGTCATGTATGGCTCTCCTTCTATAGCTTTGAACGGAACACCGAACATTCAAGAGCATTCAGGGATCTGTGGGAATTCAAAGTCAAAACGGCAATTCTGTGTCTCATTTATCAAACAACTGTATTGACTTGGTATTTATTTATTTATTTATTTATTTATTTATTTATTTATTTGAGGCAGGGGCTAGGTCAAGCTGGCCTGGAACTTGCGGCAATCCTCCTGCCTTGGTCTCCTGGAGTTATAGGCACAAACCATACCTGGCAGCTTTTTACATTCTTACCATACCCAGCCCTTTCCTTGTTTGTTTTGGGAGCCTTCCCAACTTGTTTTTCAGGAAAGTTTTAGTGACTGCCCATATGGGGCAAGTGCCTAAGTTAGAAGTGTGGCCACTGGCTCTATATTTGATTTGCTCTTCACGGCCACCTTAGGACCTCCCATACCATAGCCACGGTTAGAACTTCACTTAGCACATGTGGGGATGATGCTGTCAGAGCCGAGGTGGCACAGCAACAATGTGTCCCTTTTGTTCTCTTTAGTAACTCAGCCCTAAATCAGGTGTGTTCCAGTTTCCTCTACTACCTGTGCCTCAGCCTCCTCTCAGCTCCAGAGAAGACAGAACCACCCTCCTCAGAAGGTAAGATGGTGCTCACTTCGGCAGTATGTGTACTAAAAATGCAGCGATATGGAGATGATTAGCATGGCCCCTGCACAAGGAAGACACACAAATTCATGAAACATTCCATAAAAAAAAAGGAAGGTGATGGGCATGGTGGCACATGCCTGCCTGTAGTCCCAGCACTCAGGAGGCAGAGGCAGGCGGATCTCTTGAGTTCAAGGCCAGCCTGGTCTACATAGTAAGTTCCAGGCTAGCTTAGGCTACAGGGAGACCCTGTCTCAAAAAAAAAAAAAAAGAAGTTAAGATGATGTAGCCTCATTCCTGAGGCCTGTGGCAATCTTTCATCTGGGTGCTTGGATGGTTGGCTACATAGTGAGGCAGTCGGTGCAATATTATCTATTTATTTGAAACTACAGTGATGGAATTCTAGAATTATTCCTAAGAAAGTAAAATAATGGTATCAGGAAATGATAGACTCCAAGGCTCCTGGGACTTTAGACTGCTGAAAGTTGAGAAGGGCCCTAAAGCTTATCAGGTCCAAACTGTCCCCCAGCTGTCTTCTCTGCCTCATCCCCAGACCACCTCTTTGCAGACACCGCTGGAGGCCAGCATTCACTACAGCCTGTTCCATTTCTTTCTTTGTTCATTCATGAAGTGTTTCTTGCACATCCACTGTGACCCTGTTTGAAGTGCTGGTGAAAGAACATGGGAGACAAATCCCTCCCCTCCTATAGCTAGAAAGGTACACGGTGAACAGATAGACACAAGCCAGGGATGGAGGGCTATGAATGAAAGAAAAGTGGGCAAAGTGTGAGGCACGTGCCTTTGATTTCAGGGAGGCAGAAGCAGACAGATTCCTGAGTTCAAGGCCAGCCAGGGCTACCCAGTGAGACCCTATCTCAAAAAAAAAAAACAAAAAAAAAACAAACAAAAACAAAAATGGTGGGCAAAGGGATAGAGGGAAATGGGAAGGGGGAGGCTGTGCCAGGGAAGTCTCTGAAGATGTGGCATGAGCAGGGGTATGAGTAAGGTAAGGAAGACGGAACAGCGGGTGCGGGTACAGGCCTCCAAGTTTGTTTTTTTTTGTTGAATATTTATTGAGTTTTCCCAGAAGCCTGGGGAGGGACAGGCAGATACAGGAATGACTACAGCGTGCTCTCTGCCCAGTGAAATTTCTCTATTCTAGATGCCTTGCTTGTTAGAGGATAAGACAATTTTATGTATTCACACAAATATCCTATCTTTGTGGGTTAGACTTGATGGTGAATGCACTTCCTTTTTTAACCTTTATGGAGAGTCTGTGTCATCCCTTGCCTCCTGTCTGTTGTCTTCATGTGGAGAGAGACAGGTGACCAGGCAAGCACTTCCAACATGACTTCAGTGCTGATTCTTTCAGTACGCTGACCACTCGCTGCTGCAGGTCTGCCTGTCAGGTGTAGCCCAGCCTGCGGAGAGAGCGCAGGAACTTTGCTGGCCTAGCCTGAGACTATGTTGGCAGCCAACTCAACCACGGCCACTTATTTCCTCATGTGTTGGAACAAAAGGAAAACCCCTCATAGCTCCTCCTTTGGACACCGTGATCTGAGTGCCAGGAGGGACAGCAGTCTCACCCCCAAGCTTGGGGCTTTTGTCCCCCTTACATGTATCATAGGAGACGGCAGATGGGATGTGTGAGGTGAGGATATTCATGTCACTATCAGAATGTTCATTATGGAGCACATTGTTGGGAAAAGGAGTGAACTAGAATTATGGGATTATAGGGCTGTGCTCCCATATTGCTGAGGGAGACTCCCTGTCCACTTGTCTGGGATGTGGCCCTTGGTTTACTGCCTTAGCAGGATGGATTTTTTTTTCAGCTGACCTCCAGCTTGGGGCCTTTTTCCAGTCTCTCCTCCACCAACTACTTTCTACTTACTACTGGAGTTATCTAGAAAGTTTTAGCATCTTAATTCCTTTGGTCTCAGCTGTGGGGCCCACACATCAGTCTGTGTAGCAGCGTTAGACAGCGAGGGAGAGTTTTATGGTCCTTAATGAAATGCAGAAAACAAGGATAATGTGAATTTTCCAAAAAAAAATGGAAAAGCTCTGAGGTCTGTCCATTCTTTTGCTGTGAGTATACTGCTTTACAAAATAGGTTTGAGGGGCTGGAGAGATGGCTCAGCAATTAAGAGCACTGGCTGTTCTTGCAGAAGACCCAGTTTGAATTCCAGCACCCACATGATGTAACTCTAGTTCCAGGGGATATGATGCCCACTTCTGTCCTCTGCGGGCATTGCACGACACAGGTGCACTTATCTACATACAGGCATTACACTCATACACATAAAATAAATAAATAAACTAGGTTTGAATCTTTGCTCTCAGAATAAAATATGTTTGCTTTTCTATTTGTTCGTATTTTTGAGACATAGGCATGCTATGTAACCCAGGCTGGCCTTGAACTCTCTGTTCTACCTCAACCTCCTTGCCTTCCTGTCAGATTGCTGGTATGTGGAGGGAGCTTCAAGTTCCACCACACACTGCTAATGTACAGATTTACCCCGCTAAAATACAAGTTCTTTAAGCAGCATTTGAGACCTTTGACATTCTACCTGTGAATTGTATCACGTAGTTCTGTGGTTCCTGACACCACATCTACTCGGACTATCCACACTGAACACAAACATAATGTGTTCTCTCCTGCCTCTAGGCCTCCAGACACCTTGCTTCCTGTCCCTTGGGTTTTCTCCTCCCCTTCCCCCTGCCTGTTTCCTACTTATTGTCCATAATTCCCTGCCCTTTGAGGGTTCCCGTGCCACCATAGACCGCCTGACTTTCTCTTTGCACACTGGATCATGACTCTGGCCACATGTATTGCAATTGTCTGCCTTTAAAAAGATATTTTATTTATTGGGGCTGGAGAGATGGCTCAGCAGTTAAGAACACTGAATGTTCTTGCAGAAGACCCGGGTTCAAATTTCAGCACCCACATGGCAGCTAACAACTGTCTATAACTCCAGTTCCAGGGAATCTGATGCCCTCTTCTGTCCTCTGTGGGCAGTGTACAACACATGTGCACTTACATACATGTAGTCAAAATGCTCATACACATAAAATAAAAATAAAAATTTTTTAATATTTTATTTATTATT